AGCACACAGGGGCTGAGCTGCATTCCATGTAGAAAGGCCCNGCTTTAAGTAGAAGAGGACCACCAGTAAGACTTCGCTCTACAAAAATGCTAACTTCACCCCCAGTTTCGTTAGATGCAAGCGAGCAACCTGCTAAGGCACGCATTGCACCAGCATCTATTGCGGAGGAAGATCCAGACATGATCTGAATCGAACCGGCAACACGAGCTGCACGCGTGTTTGCGCATAACCCATTGCCGCGACTTGAGGAAGGCCCAACTGCACCGCAAGAAATGCGCACATCCCCGCTGGCGGGGCCATCGCTGCTGCAAAGGAATACCTGGCCACTCGAGCCCGCGGTACTCGCGCCAGAAGACACGATTATGTCTCCTCCAGATGCCTCGCCGCCCTCGCCCGCAACGACCTGCACCCCACCACCCTGGCAGCCGGCCCCGGCCACGCAGCCAACGCCCCCTCCGGTTGCCAAGCTGTCCTCTTGAGAGGAACCGGCGACGATCCCGACTGCTCCTCCATCAGCATCATGCGATGTACCAGCTCTAAAGCCAACCTCGCCCGTCTCCTCACCCGCGCCGCTTCCAACAAAGACAGCCCCGCTCGATACCCTCGCAGATTCGGACGATATCAAAATGCTGCCGCCATCTCCAGAGCCGCTGCTAGTTCCAGTGCACAGGCTCGCAGCGCCACTGTTTTGACGGCGCCCACCGCTCAGTATGTCAGTCCTACCGCCCTTGGCCTCGTTGCTCAGGCCTCCGCGAGCCTCTAATCCACCCGCAAAGCGGCAAGCGTCGCCCCCAGATGCTGTAATCGACCCACCTGACCTGACGGCATCCGCCGCAGCAAGCAGCTCGAGGTTCCCAGCGCCAACTCCTCCACTTGCACCTTCAAGAGCAACACGTCCGCCAACACATCCATCACCACCCGTCAGCGTCGCACCACTCCCAACACCACGCGACTCAGTACTCTTCCTTGGAGCGAGGATCACATCACCGCCCTCATCAGCATGGCTTGTGCCGGATACGATGGCACACATGCTGGACTCGTCCACTGATCTACCGGTGGAGATGCAGATCGGACCTGTATCTCCAGATCTGGCTCTGCTACTAGCCATGCACAAGTCACCGCTCACACTCTCGTCCCTTGCAACCACGCCATCACTTGAAACATCAATGGCACCAGAGTCACGGTACGTTCCACAGCCGCTACGGATCAAAACAGCGCTGCCAATATCAGCCCCGACTCCGCCAGAGAGCGCGATGCTCCCGCCTCGACCGTCATCGCTGCGAACCGCACCGCCGTCGATCGCCACACTCCCACCGAAGGCCTCCGCTGCCCCATCGCCACCGTTTAAGGAAAGTGAGCCACCTTCGCGTCCAGTCCCGGCACGGGTGCTAATCTCACCAACGGTCCCGTCTGAACGTTCTGTATCCAACAGCAACGCACCCGAAGAACCCCCTCCCCCCCCTGTCGCGATGGCGACTGTCTGCTCTCCGTCTATGGCGACTTCTCCTCCCAACGATGACGTGCTCGTACCGCTCGCAATATCCAAATTGCCACCGGCCACTGATTTTCCAGACCCAGCAGATAAAATCAACCCCCCACCATCCCGCCCTACGCCGGCACTCAGCGATGTCATACCACCAACGGCGCCCCGTCCAAGCGATTCACCAGCAGAGATCTCGGTATGACCACCAACTTGGGCTCCCCGCCCCGCTTCTTGCTCAAGCTCCCCGCCCTGTCCACGTGCCCCACTCGACCCAGACATAAATGTAGCATCACCGCCAAGGTGCTCCTGTGCAGCGCCAGCACCCAGGTCCATCTCGCCACCAGATCCACCAAATGATGAGCCTGCATGGATCGAGCTGCTCCCCGAAACGCGGTCCACGCCACCCACTGCCGCCATGAGGAGGACATGCCCGGACTCGCTCATGGATGTTGCGCCCGTTCCCATCCGAACATCCCCACTGTCGAAGGTGGTCGCACTCGCAATTGACGTGGCTCCACTTGATCCGGCTTCACTCTGACCGCTCTTCACTAGCAAGTTGCCCCCAGGAGCATCCATGCCAGTGCCACCCGCAACCCGGGCTGCTCCTCCTGCCAGGCACCCAGCGCCTCCCCTCAGCTTGGCGCTACCCCCTTGATCTGCAGGACTGCAGCACGAACCCGACTGCACTTCAATCGCACCAGCATCATCGAATGTGGAATAGCCGACTTCGATGGCGACCGACCCACTCTTACTATCTGCCTTGCCAGTCCTCAGTTCCAGCGATCCTCCATTGTCGTGATGAGGCCCTCTTGAGCTGGCAACAATCTCGGCAGCACCACTCTCGAGGCCTGTATTTACATCATCGCCGGTAGCGACAGCAGCGTTACCACCGCAATGGCCCTCACCTCCACGAATCCGCACAACACCGCCAACCCCACCGTCAGCCCCGTCGATACCTCGGCCGGAAGTGAGGGTGACCTCACCGCCGTTGTATCCACGACCAGCTGCCGTGACAAGCCTGCCCGCAGCCTCCTGTCTGTGAACGGGCGAGTCCCCACCGAAAATTGAGACATCATTCTTGCTATCATACAGCCCCATTCCTGTGCAAAGCGACACATCCCCGCCGAGGCCACCCTGTCCACTGCAGAGGTACACGGATCCACCAGCGCATTGAGCATCGTCTGTACCAGAGGCCATTGTCATCGAGCCCCCGGCACCACGACTTTGATTCCCAATGTTAAGAGCGACACGAGAGCTCGCTCCGTCATCCAGAGCTTTCCCTGACTGCATCGCGAGACATCCAGAATCACGAGCGTGCCCGGTGGTCATCCCAACGTGTCCACTCCTGCCACTGGAGCTCTTGAGGACGCTGTCACCACCCTTTCCGCCCAAGCTACTTGATCCACTCGCGAGGCGCACCTCCCCACCCTCGGCGCTGTGACCTGTACCTCCACAAACGTGGAGATTTCCGCCAACGAGACTATCGCTGCCACCAATGTGCCCCCCTCCCCCGTGTCGACTCGTATGTCCACTATCGCCCGCTCTGACATCGACTCTTCCACCTCTGGCAGTCCCTCCACCGGAGAGGATGCCACACGCGCCCCCAGGTCCTGACGGTGACTCGGGTGTTCTAATTGCAATCAAGCCCGTGTCTGGACCACCCCCTGTACAAAGACGCAGGCCCCCAGACTGAGCCGTCGCAACTAACAATGACCCACCCTCGCTGGCCGCGCCACAACCGCCTGATAGACTGACATCCCCGCCAGCACCGTCGCTTCCGTCGGCTGCTTGGACCCGAAACTCCCCGCCAGAAACAATCCCCGACTTGCCGCACAAGTCAATGGAACCCGCCAGTGACTCTTTAGACGCACCTGCATCCAAGACTATATCTCCACCACAGCCTTGGGCCCCAGGCCCGCCACAAAGCCGCAATAAGCCCCCACAAGTGCCACCACCGCTTGAGAGGTCGACCCCCCCCCCACGGCCACCCTCGAAGTCCACGTCGATTGCCATGCCACCAGCCAAAGACACACAACCACCGCATGTAGCGCCACTGCAACTGCCCCCCGCGACTAGAACACGACCCGTCGCACGGCTCGCATCACCCGAAGACAAGGTGACCCTGCCTGAAGACTCAGAGACCGAAGCACCACTGGACATGCGCACATCTCCGCTGGCGGGGCCATCGCTGCTGCAAAGGAATACCTGGCCACTCGAGCCCGCGGTACTCGCACCAGAAGACACGATTATGTCTCCTCCAGATGCCTCGCCGCCCTCGCCCGCAACGGCCTGCACCCCACCACCCTGGCAGCCGGCCCCGGCCACGCAGCCTACGCCCCCTCCGGTTGCCAAGCTGTCCTCTTGAGAGGAGCCGGCGACGATCCCGACTATTCCTCCATCAGCATCATGCGATGTACCAGCTCGAAAGCCAACCTCGCCCGCCTCCTTCCCTGTGCCGCTTCCAACGCAGATCGCCCCACTTGACACCCCCGCAGATTTAGATCCTATCGAGACCCCCCCCGAATTCGCCGTTCTCGCGCTCACCTGAATGTCTCCCCGCTCTGCCATGTTCTCTAATACGAGTGCCCCTCCTGCGCAGTCATCTGAGCTTGCATCACCACTGTGTACGCTGACGTCTAGTTGAGAATTGCCTGCTGTACAGACAGCCACAGCAGTAGTATCTTCTTTGTTCCCTGTGAGATGTTTTGATTCAATCGCAATGTGCCCTCCGCGAGAGTTGGTCGGTTGCTGGGAGAAAGCACCACGAGCTTCCCCGGCAGCAACATTAACACGCTGGTCAACACCACGTATGAGGATATCATCCGCCCCAAGCCCGATCTTTGTCACTCCAGCACCAGACTCTGATTCTCCCGCTTTCAAGACAATCCCCCCCCCCGCAGCTTCCTTTGATGAACCTGACAAGATACCAACCCCTCCCGATGGTGAGGTCATGGCTTCGCCCGTTCTAAGCTCGAAAGAACCACTTTCATTGTGCGCGAGAGCAGAAGCTAGAACGACACTGGCGCCTGCTTTTGCCTGGGAGAGGCCGGAAGAGAAATCTATCGGCCTCGCGCTGACTTGACCATGTCCACCCACAAATGCAGCCCCCCCGCCGGCATTTAAGGCATTGCCTGCGGCAAGGTCGGCACGGCCTCCACAAGGTCCGCCTGCTGTACATCCAGCGACCAAGCGAACACAACCAGCGACACCACGGCTGCTACTACTGCTTGCCAAAAGAAGAGGAGCACCACTGTTCACCGTCGGACCAACTCTAAAGTGGCTTTTGGTGGCAGCAGAAGCAACAAAACTACCATGATGACAGCCACGACCTCCCTGAAATGACACACGCTCGTTTGCGGACGCAATCAGGGCTCGCCTGCCCGCGCCTGCCCATATTTTTAGGTTGCCCAACACGCCAGCCCCACCAACGGCGAGGACAAGGCCGCCTCCAACACCTCGATTTGCTGCGCCCGAGCATATCACGACCGCACCGGAGCGCACGCTTGATGATATTCCCGTTGCGAGTGATATCTCGCCAGTTTCATCACTGTCATCGGAATGGAGAGACAATGTCGCAGATGTCATAGTGCCCCCCCGGCCAACTCTATAGCGAGCAGCTTGCGCCTGAAGACCTGCTATGGCATCTAGTGTTAGCGACATTTTGTCAACTTGGTGGAAGTCGTGAAGACCAAAACCCTTGTCAGGGAGCGAGTAGGAGGGAAGGACTGTGACATGCTCTGGGAAAATCTCCTTCAATTCCTGAGCCACGACACCACGGACGACTGAGGCCCCTCTCGAACGCACAGATCGCCAATTGTCCGTGTAGCCATAAGTTTGGAGTCCAACCCGAATTAGCCGGCGGTGTAAGTCATCGACATCTGCAGGATAAACGTCCTTCTTAATTCGACGGTCTGAAGAGTAAATGATATCAGTCGCTGTCGTAAAATCAGCATTCGAAATCAGCATTGAAGTGTTCTGGGCAGATGCATCGTAACGGAGGCGTAAATCAAAGATGGGGTTATGGCTCTCGCTGCAAGCGAAACCAATTGTGTTCTCATTGTCACTAGTTACGAGAGAAACCAGTCCAATTTCACCGTGCGTACCAGCCACTAAGTCAATGCGTTCGCTGACACCGGCTGTTGCGGAAGTCGCGCTTGTGGTCATTGACGTCGTGCCGGCGGTAAGTCCTCCACAGCCAGCTGCCAAACAGGAATCACCTGTGGCTGCAGACATGGAGTCATGCGGTGCAGCGACAGATAAGGTGCCACTACCGCCGGAGACACCCGCAGCAACAGCCAAAGTACCACTGTCTCCAGCAGTCGCCACCCCAGTAGTCAACCCGATCGTGCCCACGTCGGCGACGCCTGCCTTTGTAGCCACTGTTGTGGCTCCACTGACCTCTCCAGTTGCTCCACCCGACACAACGGTAGTGAGTGACGCATAGGCACCCCCCCCCGCTTGTACTGAGATGTCACTGCCCAAACCACCAACAGCAGTGTCTGCCTCTAAAGAAAGAGTGCCAGCATAATTCGCAGCGCCGATTGCGAAACTAAGTTCGCCGGTTGCCGCCGTAGAAGAGCCTGTCATGGCAGTGGCGGCGCCACTGGCGACGGAGTCAGACGACGTGAAGCACACTGGAGAGCCAGTCCCAACGGACGAACCAGCACCGAGGATAGCACTCCCACCAGTAGTCCCTGCACCTGCTAAACAAGCAACGCCAGCACCTCCAACTCCAGACCCAGACACTATCGCAGTATCTCCGCCAGAGGCAGACAGGTCAGCACTCACTTTGATGTCCGCTGATTCACCTTGTGCAGAGTCTCCCGTAGCCACCGTGGCGGCACCTGTCGCGCAGCCAGCGCCAGTTGCAAAGACTGCAGAAGCACAACCCGCTGCAGTAGCGCGAACATCTCCGACCACGGTGGTGCCGATACCGGCCATGATGGTGGTGTCACTCCCAGTTACACCACCATCGGAAGCACTCAGAATACGGACGGCCCCTCCAATGGCACTCGTACCAGTGACGTCGCCTATGGAGGCAACAACATCAGAACCCGGACCCGCGCCAGTCCCACCACCAGTACAATCCACGCCTCCGACAACTCCTAGCGCGTCTGCGGCTCCAAGAGAAACGGATCCTGCCTTGCCGCTTTCTTGCGCGACGCCAGATGCCACGCTCACATGGCCGGTGCTTTCAGTTGATCGCGATGCCAATATCACGGCGCCGGTCATCGAGGCCGGCCCAAAGCCCGACATGAGATAGAGGCCACCACCAGACGCCTGGGCCGTGGTTGTGCCAGCGACAACGGTCATAGGAGCTCCCTCGGAGCCGGACGAACCTCCACACGAAATGTTTGCGGAGCCACCACCATCGCCAGTGCTTGAACCTGTGGTGATGATGATGCTCCCTGAGGACTCCGCCGCAGCAGTGCCAGATTTCAGAACGATAGCGCCCGAACCACCAGCGCCATTGCCGTCACTCGTCATCAGATTTGCGTCACCACCAATTCCTGCACCACCTGAAGCTGCTGATATTTTCATTGAGCCACCTGTGGCAAGCGATGAAAGTCCACCGGAAAGTAAAATGCCACCAGCTGTGCGTTCTGCACCGGTCGAATCCTGAGAAACCTGCGTGGGTAATTGTGTTACGCAGAAGTAGGAACGTTTCTGGGCGCCGCGATCTATTCTCGACATTGTAGGCTCCCGCGGTTACGCACACGGCGCCGCCAGTGCCACTCCATGCAGTCCCTACCGTGACGGTGACATTTCCGCTGCCACCGTGGAGTCCAGCTCCCGTGGATATTGCAATCTCGCCCGCGTTAGGGACTGACGTGGATCCAGAAGCACCTTGGCCCGTTACCAAGAAAATAGCCCCAGTCGCCCCCGCCACGCTGAAGCTATCACACGCGCCCGATGTGAGCATCACACCACCAGACGCATTCACATCGCCAAATGCGTCTTCACCTAGCATGCCTGCGGCTAGGTATGCGTCATCCCCAAGCATGCCAGAACTTGCATCACCGACTTGACAGGAGATTTTCCCTGTTGAAGCTGAACCTGAAGCGCCCGTTGAGAGCACCACAGCGCCAGACCCTCGACTGCTGCCACCGGTCGCGCAAGTCAATGAGCCGCTGGATGAAGCGCTATTCCCATCGCCGGTTGCAAATTGCGTCGTACCATTGGACGAGAGGCCAGCTACAATCACAACCTTCCCACCCTGTCCCGTGGAAGCACCACCACTCGTTACCGTCATGGCACCAGCGGCGCCCGCAGAAACGGAACCACCAGTGGACGTCGCTGAGCCTGCGCTTAAGGTAGCATCGCCACCCACTGATATCGCTGACTCACCAGCAACGATGGTTGCATCGCCGCCATGAGTGGTGCCTGCACAAGCCCCAAAGGAAACAGAGCCAGCCATGCCTGCTGTGGACGTACCTGTCACGATGGAGGTTGAACCGGCGACTGCAACAGCTTCGCCAGTGGCAATTTCAACGCAACCTGTGGCAGTGCCATCACCGCCAGAGGCTGACAAAATTTGGAGGCTGGGATCTGTATCGTCTTTGGCACAGCCAACGATGGACAAGGCACCGGCATCTTGTCCGCTACCCGCTGCGATTGAAAGGCGCCCGGTAGAACTGGTACTAGCTGGAGCTGAACCACCTGTAACATAGATACTGCCACCATCAGACGCCCCGGCGGAACCTGCACAGAACTCGAGATTCCCCGAAGTCTCAGCGGTGGAAACTCCAGAACTGAAGGACAAGGCACCACTCCCGACTGCAGTACTAGCAGATGCAGTGACAAATCGAAGGGTGCCGCTGTCAGACCCAACACCCGAGCAGACGTACGCAGCTCCTGAGGTTTGTGCTGCCCCAGCAGTTGCTGAGATGGCTCCGCCCGCGCCCGAATCCCCAATACCCACCGACGTGATAGAGGCGCCGCCATAGGTTGCTGCCCCAGATCTCAAGTATAAGTCCCCAGAGTCACCTATTCCCGCCGCGCCTGTCTGAATATATATTCCCCCTGTCTCCATGCACGAGGGCTCAGTAGACATATTCACAGCCCCAGATAGGCCCATAGTGGAAGCCCCACCAAGGCACGTCGAGGTGCCGCCATCTGAGCCAGCAGAAGTCCCGGCGATGCCTAGAATAGCACCACCTATTGCCTTCCCATGGGAACCCGATTGGAATTGAACACCACCACCGTAAGTGGCAGATGAGAGGCCAGCAACGACCACAACATCAGCGTCCCCACCAGTGGCGCTTGCATTGATGGCACCTGCTCTGCCAGCCACCGTGGAGCCGCTTCGGAGAACTACCAGGCCCGAACTCCCATCTGTTACCATACCTGTCCGGAAAAAGAGGGCGCCGCTTGAGCCATCGTTTCCCGAGTTGGCCGATGTAACTCGCACGGCGCCACTCGATGAAGCAGCAGATGCGCCAGATCGCACAAGGACAAATCCACCGGTGCTTATCGCAGCGGTCCCGCCAGCGAGTACTATAGCCGTTGCAGCTGAACCCTGCGAAGCACCACATGTTAGGTGGACTTCGCCAACAAGTCCTGTCGCGATTCCTGTCGCAATGATAATCGAACCAGAATTTCCTATAGCATCGCCGGTCTGCGCAATCACCGTCCCAGTATCACCAACGTTGGCCGTAGCGGACGAGGCATAAGTAATGGCGCCAGTCCCGGCCGTGGAAGTCCCCGATGTAACAGTGATATCACCACCTAGATCGTCCGCCGACCCACCTGCACTGAGATTCACATTCATGCCTCTGCCATTGTGACTCGCTCCAAGAAGCACAGAAAGGTCACCGCCATGGCCCGTGGATGCCGCCCCGCCCAAGAAGGTCAAGCTGCCAGCGCCACCTTGCTCAGCGCCGCCGGTTGACAACACACATGCACCTGTATCAGCTCCAGATGCGGTAGAAGCATTCACACTGCCAGATGCAGCACTGTTGGATGTAGATGCACCCGCCGCAATTCCTATCGAACCCCCTAGACCGGAATCCACTGAACCTCCACATAGCTGCACCTTGCCACCGGCCGCACAGCAAGAAGCCCCCCCACCATCCATGACTATGCTGCCCCCGAGCGCAGGACTGCCGCCAGAGGTGCAGGCTATGCCACCGCCTTCTTCAGCGTCCCCGGCCGCTAATTCTATAGCTCCGTCGTTCATGCCTATACCAGTAGCGAAGCGGACGACGCCGCCTTTCTCGGCTTGAGCTGCGCCAGACTCAATTCCCATAGTGCCACTTTTCGTTCCGACAGAGGACAAGCCAGAAGAAATAATAACAGCACCAGTCTCACCACTAGCGTTTGAAGCAAGGGCTATGCTACCACTTTTTGCAGCAAGAGACGAGCCACTTCGTAGACAAACTTCACCAGCTGCTTTCTCCGAATTCCCACCGTTAACGTAAACAGCGTTATCTGCCCCGCTCGAAGTCGTCGTACCAGCCATCAGGAGAGCACCGTGGGGCACGCTTGCCGTATTTTTCCCTACCAATAGACTTGTGCTTCCAATGTTGCTCTCAACGTTGTTGCCCGTTGAAAGTGAAAGCAGGCCGGACCCATCGACGGCATCTCTTGTCCTCGACATGCCAGCTCCTGAAACGTAACCATGCCCTGTTTGAAAATACACGATGCCACCCACACCGCCTGTGGCTCCACCGGCTGCCAGCGAGACATTAGCGGTCTTCTCCGAGCTGCAAGTTGAAGGTGAAGCCATGATAGCCATCTCACCTCCAAGTGCGGCATGACCAGCGGCGATGTGAGTCGCTCCAGCGAAATAGTTGGCTGTTGTGTCGCCAGCAGACAGGCTGATACATCCGCCGCTAGCGACGATAGAGTGACCAGCGGCACAGCTGATGTTACCACCAATATCTTCAGCCTTGCCACATGTTCCAGTTGTGATACAAACGGCCCCGCTCTGTTCGCTGACCGTGATCCCCGTGTAAAGTCGGATATTTCCACTTGAGCCTGGATTTATGCCTGTATTTGCGGTGCCGATAGCAACATTTCCGCTGTTTGAGCCTGAACCGCCTCGTAAGAGAATGCTACCACCAACTGTATCCGTCGACCAGCCTGCTGTTGCGGTGACATTACCACCTGTGGAGTACTGACTGCCCCCAGCATCCAAGGTGAGGGAGCCACCGGCACCGGCCTCTGCGGCGTCACCAGAGGCGATCAAAATAGATCCAGAGACACCTACCGAGGCTGTCCCCGTTCCAACGGTGATCCCACCAGATGTGCCAAATGTGCCACTTTCAGCAGTTAGAATCTCAATGTTGCCAGAAGATTGGCAAGTTGCAAAGCCAGACATTGCGCAGACATCACCGCCGTTGTATGCAGCTTTAGCGTCACCTACTGTAGCACCAGCTGTCATCATGCAAGCACCACCACGCCCTGAATCACCAAGTGCAGCACTCAAAATAACGTCACCACCATGACCGGCAGCAGCGGCACACGAGGAGAGTAAGACAGCGCCGGATTCGCCCACGGTGGCAACCCCAGTAACGAAGTCCATCGTACCTGATGTGCCAGCGACACCGGCTAGCTTGGTCTCGAGAATTATAGTCCCACTTGAGGAAGCGAGCGAGGATCCGGCGGCGATGCTGATCGAACCGCCAGGTGAAGATCGACCTTCACCACCATGCAGTTGGGCCAGGCCACCCACGGCACCACTTGAGCCACCAGCCTCAGCAAGTGAAGAGCCGCCAGCACCACTGATCGTACTCCGCCCAGCGCCGCCAGATGCATAGATCATACCACCATCAGCATCTTCTGAAAATGCCGTACCACCATTACAAGTCATATCGCCAGAGCTCTGTGCACCGCTGCCGACGCAAAGCGCAACAGCACCGGCGCTACCAGCAGAAGCTTCGCCCGTGGAAAGAATGATGGCCCCGGAATTTCCATCATTCGACGGGCCCGTGCGGCAAGCTACTGCTCCCGATGCTGCAGCCGATGAGCATGTGGCAGCACAAATGGCACCAGACGTAGTCAGCGCAGACTCGCCCGAAGTCACAAGGATAGCGCCGCCGTCACCCTGATCGCTGCTGCCGCAACCGGAAACAATACCTCCGCTCCCACCGACACCTTGAGTTGTATGCCCGACAGTCAAAGACAAGGTGCCTGCTACGCTACTCAAAGCAGCACCTGATTCAAACGATAGTCCCCCCGAGATACCACCAGATGATGATGCTGTTCCAGAGAGGAGCTCTATCGCACCAGAGACACCAGCTAAACCAGCGTTTGTGGTGTGCAAAAAAATATTCCCGCTTGAAGTCTGAGTTCCCGCGCCTGAGAGCACGCGGCATCCACCGCCAAGTCCATTTTTGGCATCCCCACCGCCGAAGCTGCTGGCACCGCCAGTGTTGGTACTGTCGCGTCCCATCGCTGCCCCGCCACCGACGTAAATAGCGCCCCCGGAACCCCCATTTGCACCCGCGCGTCCCTCAGTGCCGGCACCTCCCCTGGCATGGATGCAACCACCACAGAACGAGGCGGCAGATGTCTCCCCTGCACAGATGCGTATGTTGCCGCCAGCCGCCGAGTCGCCAGAACCGACCGAGAGATCGAGGTCCCCAGCGGTACCACTTAACGCATTCTCACATCCAGCGCAAAAATGCCCAGAGTTTCCAAATGAAGATGCACCTGTCTTCCCGCATATGGCCCCGGAGTTTCCATCATAGCCGGAAGACGCTGTCGCAACGCGAACTTGTCCCGAGGATGATGCTGCGCCGTAGCCAGAGACAATGCGAAGTTCACCTCCAGATGCCGCCCCTCCAAACCCACCGTACACGCGTAAGTTCCCCCCGACATTGCTCGCGCTACATAAACCAGAGGCTTCACCACCACAGAGAAAAACGCCGCCACCGCGACCACCGCCATAGCCATAGCCATTGCTGCCATGACCGGCCAGGATGCACACTGAGCCTCCAATGGACTCATCAGCAGAGGCCTCACCAGCAAGAGTAAGCACATCGCCGCCGTCCCCTGAATTACCCCCGCCGATGAATATCTCGATAGCACCGCTCGTACCCTGCGTGGCCATGCCTGTTGTCGCACGAACCACACCCGACGCACCATAGGACGTTGTGCCTGTAGCGAAGTGTACTGAACCTGATACGCCGGAGCAACCAGCATTGATGGTGTCCAACGAGAAGGTACCGGAGGTGGTCGTTGATGAGGGGCCTGATACAACCTGTACAGCACCGCCAGTCTTGTCTGCCGCCCCACCGCCACTTGCAGCGATGGCACTCGTTCCAGAGACCACGACAAGGTCCCCGGCTGTGCCAGAATTGCCAACACCGATAGCACAGTGGACAAAACCTGCGCGCCCTTGCGAAGCTATTCCAGTGCGCAAGTGACAAGAACCAGTTTCACCGCCAGGATCGTCCTCGTCGAGGCCGGTAGCACCGGTTGAAAGATCGAGAGCCCCGGAGACTCCCGTTTCGCCAGCATTCGCAGTCGAAATGTCCACGACTCCAGATGATGTTCCTTCGCCGTAACCGCTTGCTACTATCATCGCACCGCCGCATCCTGATCTTGCAAATCCACCCGCGCACAAGGCGCCACCGCCATCATCCCCCGCTGCACCGCCGGCTCCACCGCCTCCGACGACAGTGAGCACACCACCACTTCCACCACCCCCAATGTCGTTGTCAGAGCTTCCTTCACCCGCTGACACTGAGACAGTACCACCTACCACAGCATCTGCCGTGGTTTCACCAGCTGCGATAAGAATATTACCACCATTGCCTGAGTCACCAATGCCGGTGCACAAACTTATCACACCAGAACTGGCGCTTGTGGCCGATGAAGACCCCGGCGAGCCATAGGCTGCCCTCCCCGTGCTGAAAATAGCGGACCCGGAGGCGCCATCACTCGCGGTGCCAGTTTCAATCCGTATTTTGCCGGAGATACCAAGTGCACCAGCATCAGGCGTGCCAATGTCGACGAGGCCCGATGTTGTCTCTGTGGATACGCCAGCCTTGAGTGACATGTACCCCCCCGTGGCAATGCTCTCAGTTTTGCCTGATGCAACTTGCAGAGGACCCCCCTCGCTCGAATCGCCGAGCCCAACGCATACTGTGACGCTGCCACCAACACCATTACTAGCAGCAGCAGAAGCGACGCGCACATAGCCACTTGCACCAAGGGCACTGGACCCAGAGGAAAGAGCAATAACGCCCGAGACCCCACTACCGGCAACGTTGCCAGTGTTCACCAGCAAGGGACCCGAGGATGCAGAACCAGCCACGGCCGTCAAGGCGTGTATTGAGCCTCCAAGTCCTGAGCAGGCTGACCCACCGCAGGCGACAACGGCACCACCCGCATCCAATGCACCCCCACCGAGCGCGTGGCCACCGAGGACGCTGACTGTCCCACCATCGCCACCGTCGTTGCCGTGAGGGCTGGTGCCACTACCCGCTACTATCAACACCGAGCCGCCGCTGCAGGCCCAGGCAGCAGCACAACCCCCTTCAATGCTCATTTCGCCCCCGTCAAAACAAGAAGCGGCGCCACAACCAGCATTTATCCCACCACTAGCGCCGCCCAGAGATACCCCCGTTCCCACCACAACTGAGCCGCTCGGGGCTCCACAGCTGAGGCCAGACAGCGCAACAACGTCACCGCTGGCTTCGCTGGCTGGCACTGTCGCCACGCTAGTGCCACCGCCACTGTCACCGTGGGTTGTATCACCGGCGCCGATCGCAACTAGACCACCACGACCGGTTGCAGCGCAACCGCCTGAGACAAAGACAGAGCCGCCAACATCACCGTCAGCAATGCCAAAGCCCCCCCCCCCAATGATCCGGATTAAACCGCCGTCACCACCCGACGCTGCGTCCCGTGAGCGCCCAACGCCACCAAAGATGTTAAGACTCCCACCTGTCATCATGCCTGTACCGGCTGCAATGGCAACCGCAATTCCGTTGCCAATCGAACTCGTGCCCGCACGGACTGCTGCGCCACCTGCACGCGCAGTTGCCGTTCCGTCGCCGGATTGCAGGGCAGTGTTTCCGACACATCCCGTGGTTGTTGCACCGCTGGCAGCGCAGACATCTCCGCCATGACCATCCATGAGCGCATATCTCGATGTCACAACACAAGCACCTCCATTTTCTACCGTAGAAGTACTACCTTTGAAGGTAACAGCGCCCCCCAAAGTACGGCCACAGCCCCCGACCAAACAGGCAGTACCGCCACGCGATGTCGAGGCAGAACCAGCTGATGCCGTGATGGCAGCGAGCCCTCCTGATGCGACTCCATCACCAGCTGAACAGGAAATATGTCCAGCACTGTTTTGTTGGGCGGCAAGTTCGACACGGCCACCCGCCAATTTGCCTTTGCCTGCCTCTAAGAGGACACACGCGGCTACATCCGCAATGCCGCTACTGATGCGAACTGACGAGGAGTCTCTCCGAGCCGCGGTCCCGCTTCGCAGGGCAACATTACCACTTCGAGTAGCGCCGCTTCCAGAGCGAGTAGTTGCTACTGTGACAGGCTCACGACAGGGGGAACTGGGCGCTATGATATGACATCTGCCTGTGCAGCCACAGGTGCTGCTTCCTGTTTTGAGAGCCGTGATGGTACCATTTGCAGCTAAGCTCCCACCTGCTTCTATGCGAACGTGTGCCGCAGTGCCTCCGCCACTTAGACCGCAGGCTATATCAATGCGCCCACCGCTTTGCTTGGAGGTCGATCCAGTAGACATGCTAACCGATCCCGAATCCTTTTGTAATGAATTACCAGTCGCCACCGTCACAGCACCACTCATACCACAAGAACCAGAATCGTGCGTCTCAAGAACAACACTGCCGCTTTGATCAAGCCCAGCACCAGAAATAGAAACGATGGCAGAACCGACCGTGGACTCTGCATCACCACCGCGCAAATCTAGGGATCCGCCGTCGCCAGAAGTGACGGCACCGGCGCCGCGTGCGACGACACCACCGCCGCCATCGCAAGCTGAATCGGTACACCATCCGCGGCCGCCATGGAGCATAGTACTACCGCCTGGGATGCCAGCGCCAGGTTGAAGGATGACATCGGCTCCTTCTCGACAGTACGTCGAACCCACATCAAAAGTAATAGCACCTGAAGTAGCATCAACTGCGCCACCAGTCTCCATAGATATGGCACCACTATTTGGCGAAGCTCCTGTCTGAATCACAACATCGCCGGGAGACCCGTCGCACACGTCTGCTGTTGATACACAAAGGGAGCCCGAAGCATCGTTCGTGCCGGTGTAGAATACAATATCCCCAGGGACAGTAGTGCTACGACCAGCCTCGAAAGCTAATCGGCCAGACATCCCAGATCTAGAGAGTCCGGCGGCTATGGCCATCGCGCCGGCAGCATCATCAGCTGTACCGGTTGCAAGTTTGACCTCACCACTTGAAAGCTTTCCACTGCCCGTCTTCAGGCTCAAAAATCCACCACTTGCCGCTTCGACGCGCGCACGGCCGCTTATGCGTCGACCTCCATAGCCGGATATCAATGTGACACCTCCACCGGAACCAACGCACGATGCACCACCCAGAACTTGGATGTGACCCCCGCTACCCTCATGCGCACTTCCCGCCGCGAAATCAACTCCGCCTCCCGCCGTGTGACCGCAAGCAAGGTCGAAGCTCGCTCCCGCCGAGAATAGGATGCCACCACCTTCGCCACCTTGGTGCAAGTCACCGTCGCCCGCCTCAAGGACCAGCGCACCACCTTCAGCGTTGACTCCTTCAGTCGTGCCGCCGGTGATTGTGACCTCGCTTGCAGACACAATGGAGATAACCTCATCTGACACCAACAATTCAAACGTTGCTCCTGAGGATCGTAAATGGCCACCGCCAGAGAGCGCATCAGGCTCCAAAATAAAATCACCGACAACTCTTGTTTCAGGCGCCCACGACGCCGGGCATGGAGCATCAAAAATTGTACCATGACAGTCGCTCGTAAAAATCTCGCTAAGGTCCAAGCAGCGTTGTTCCGATGCGCACCATGCGCATGACTCATCAGATACACAGCCCCCACAATCTGTGTGGTCATCACAGACGGGCTCCTTCGGGCAGCTAGCGCCGTCCCCAAGCCACGTGGGGCAGGTTGACCCGTCCAAGGGCCCACTAGAGTCGCCAGCCGAGCAGGCACCCGTGGACAGGCAGAACCCACACCCACTGCTTCCGGCGCAATCGGCGCACGTGGCTTCCAGCCCCGCCAATCCACCGGAATCGTAATCAAAGGACCTTGATGCGCAATAATCCTCCGAAAGTACGCAAACTGCTAAGAGTAAAAGTACACAAATCGATCGATACTTGCCAGCGACCATCTAGTAGACGCATGGACAGCTTGATCTGAACTCGCCGCCGAAGATGTTAAGATACGGGCATACTATTGTATTCTCTGTATTACCGGCTTGCTAGTCCGAGGGGGCTGACCGACGGCATGCCTGGTAGTATGCGGGTTTTAAAAGAGCTTAGAGAACAGCTGGAAGTGTCAGTTGACACTGCACTGGAACGGTTTGAGACGAGGTTTAAAGCCAGGAAGATTGTTTGAAGAGCGCTTACTTAGCAGATACTCGATCCCTATTCGCTTCATTGACTTAATCGACATCACTTACGATGAAGTTGAAGCCTGTTATCATTTGGGATTAACACGGAGTTTCAATCCAGGGAGAGTAGAGAGATAGAGAGATTTCTACCTTCATCTTCAGTGAACCGTCTTGATGTTGCAGTGCACCTTACCCCACTGCGCTCAGCTCCTACCGTACTGCGTATCCTGCTAGTTTCCCTTCCCTTCCTTAATTCATTCTAATCCAGTTTCAAGTCTTATAGACAGCGAACTGAAGGAGTGACTGCCAAGCAGGGACAGAGAGCATGGCGCTCTTCTGTGTCTGTGGTGTCTGTCTGGTTAGCGTCACAGCGACGTGCCAGAGAGCACCAGGCTCAGCGAGGTAGCACAGTCGCCGGACAGTGCACCTGCTGGTGCGACCTGCTGGATAGTAGTTTGACTGACGTCATAGCGACGTTAGGGAGCTAATAAACTATCCTAACTTCCTAACGCCCCCGACAATTTTGGGTCGGCGGCTGGGGGCTTTACTCAGGCGCCGGGGGGCCGGGCGGCCCCCAAACCGGAACGCGTCGATTTTCCCGCGGGCAAAGCGACGTCGTTTAGCCCCAAAACGAAGCCCCTTGGCGCCCCTACGGTCGTTTCTAGAGCCTCAAAGACCATCGCCGAACGCTACCGCCGAACCGCACCAAAAAAATGCGCCAATTTTCACCTTCGTCACGACCCGAAACTGGGCCTACTCCCAGCATGTGTACAGTTTTCACCTACGGCCTCCCCGCCGCCGCTCCTCTTCGCGGCTGCGTTTCGGAATTGGACGATCAGCATCACTCTGATTCTGAGCTGAGTTGGGACGAATTCGTTTGGATTCCAACCGGCGAGTAGCAGCACTAGACTTTACAAGATGTGAAGTTGAGGACGAGGCTATAGGTCTTGCATTATCAGAATATTTACAGCGATCGATTGGATGTTCAGCCGTGCGTACATGCATGGGTGCGTCGCCTCGATTGCGGTGATGTGAACTTGTTGCGATTTCAAGATCATCTCGATTACTGCGACCACTCCGTGATGCGCCGTGTTTAGTGGACTTAGAATCACAATCGGTCGTGCTAGAAGCACGAATAGGGCGACTTTGCGCTCCATCCTGTAATTTTGGCTGTACTACTGCATTAGGGTTTGATCGCATTAGCACATTAGAGGATGCTTCAGCGCTGCCGCTTGTCGGAGATGAGATGTGCTCCTTGACATGCGAGTCTCCCTTGACGCTTGCGGTACTGGTACTCTTCTGGCCCGGAGGAATTCGCATCGAAGAGTCGGTATCATATTTGAGTGAAATCACCGAGGATGGCATTGTTGAAGCAATTGCTTCTGTAGGCCCAGTCTTACCGGCAGGGCTTGGGACAGCCAAGCTCGCCTTAGTCTTGTCAGGCGATGCCTGCCTTGCAGCCGAGTTCGGTTGGCGTTTGCTAGGGATAATTGAGTTTTGTGTCTTTGCGAAAGGCGCTTCGCGCTTACTCACAACATCATCAAAGAGGGAATCTTTCCGCTTATTGAGGAGTGTGTGGTAGCGCTGGGCCATGGCTTGGACATCCTTCATATCCTCTTGCTTCCTGATGATGTCCAGCTTGTCCATTAGAAGGGCATTCACACGTCTGCGGGCAGGGTAAACGCCATCAAGCTTGATGAGGACAAGAAGGCAGGCTCGACCATGGTCCTGATACTGGTCGAGACAATGAAGAGCAATCTTTGTGATCTTGTCGAACCATTTAAAAAACACCGTGCAGTACTGATCATATGAGCAGCGCGCAGGAGAGCCGATGGCAACTGAGAAACCTGGTTTGGAAGCTGCTTCTTTTTCGAAGAGATATTTGTCAAAGCGCCAGCGCTTCAATGGCTCGAATGTCGTCTTGAGGAATATGCCAAGACAGCTGGCCTCACGATCCGTTGCACAGTAGACAACGGGGAAGACATCTTTGACAACTCGGTCATAGTATTGGAGGCTGCTAAAGTTGGGCGTCTCTATCGTGTGGAGCTTATGGAAAAAGATGGCACAGAAGAGAGAGTCTTCTGGTGTCATTGTGATACGTGGCATTACACAATATTGTAGCACAGACTCTGAGATGGAGCGACGTTGGTCTTCGGCCTGTGACGTGCAAAAGCTGATGCATAGCAACCATAAGAAAACATAAAAGGAGTTTGACGGTAGAATTCTCTCTCGAATATGAAGTTGCTTTCTCGAATGCTTCACAGATTTACATGACCGCCCGAACCCCCCCCCCCCTCAACTTTGAAGTTGCTTCCCGCAAATGTACATTATATGAATATATTGCTCAGGGCGGAACGACTGCCCCCAAGAGCGTGCCACGACTAGCCTGGAGTTCGCCAAGGACCTGCTTGCAGTGCTCTTTTTGTGTAGCGAGCTCTGATGAAAGTGCTTCGATTGTGCCAAGATAACGTGCCATTTCCTTCCTGCGCTTCTCTGGTTCCTCAACCTCACGCTGTGTAGTACTGTACTTTGCCCGAAGGAGAGTGATTTGCGCGTCATAGGCCTTAGTAGGCACCTTAATGTCATAGAGGGATAGCGACCAGAACGTAAGGTAGAATTCAATCGTCATTGCCTCCCACATTTGTGCTGGCGATGCGGCAAGTAAGGCAGCCCTCACAGTTTCACCGTCTGCATCCCACCTACTCGGTTTACCACCATTTGATCCGCATGCGGTTTTTGTTGTTGTATCGAGCTGACTCTTCGCGGCATTTCGTTGAGCTGTTGCTGCTGCTGCCATCAACGGTCGTGCGGCATGAAAAGCGACTTGAGGCTCGATGCACATCGCCTGGAGAAAGGGAACACGTGTTTGATCAACACGAACGCAATTGAAGTATAGATTAGCGGACAGAGAACAGACCGAAAATATACACTCAGGACAGTACACCACAGAGAGTTTGTAGGTCAGGCAAAAGCTCAAAGTACGAGTGTTTTTCTTGCGTTATGAGGTTGGTCGGACGCTCAGTTGAGCGCGAGAGAAACTCAACTAGCTGGACCAAAACCAACTGGCATCGATCAAAGAGCTGCCCGAGAAGTTTTACATGATCCATCTCTCCCTTGAATAGCGCATACCCGCGCTGCCTATTATCACATCATCAGTGATGATCAAACGATGGAATGACACAGAGCGTGACTGGGCGACTAAAGCAAGCATTGGTGCAGCCTTGTCGGGTGTGCACAAAGCGTCTTGCAGACGTGAAATAGCACGTTTGGATGCTTTCTCGAAAGCGAATATTTCACGACGGAGTACCTCGCCGCCCGCAAGACCGCCAAGCTGAGCGTCAGATATGTCTTCGAGCACTTCACAACCGCCCATGCGGGCCAGAAGTTCATTGAAGACAAGAAGCTCGTGAGAGCCACCTGCCTTGAGGCGAAGCAGAAGAAAATCGATGAGACACCGAAGCTCAGTTTGTGGGTAAACGCGATAAAATACACCGGTAAAATTAGCGAGATACTGAAACCAATGAGAAACATGGATACCATTATCCTGCAATTTATGACGGGACGTATCTGCGAGGTGAAGTGGAAGCATATATGAGAGGACGTCCAGCGCCAGGGGCGTCATGAAGCCGAAGGACTCTATAATTGGCTGGATCATGTTATCATAGGATTCTATCTGTGAGAGAATGACATGGAAGACAACAAAAGGATTCGAGTGAGCTGTTTTTGCCAACGCACGTCCCACATGTTTAGCATTTTTTTTTTCATTTGCAACACGCTTCAGCGCCTGTCTCGCGTCATGGCCCGCCTCGCACTCGGCTCGCGCGACCTCAAAGTGTTTCAAGCCGATCGCAGTGCGATCAACGCCGCGACCACGCCAAGCTTTGTAAAGTAAATGGCGCTCGCAGTACGGAAGACACCTCATCGCTGCCCATACCTCGAGCACACAGCCAGGGTTGCCAGGCATAAGTGATAGTGTGGGTAGCAAGACGTATTCTAAAAGCCGTCTTGCGACCAATGATTCTTCAGTTCCACGCCAGCACGGCTGGAGCAAGTGCCTGAGGACACGTGCAAGCTTGGTCACGAGTGACGCGTCAAATGCTGTGTAGACGTGAAGGTGATAGCAAAGCGGCTCCAGGACCAAGAGAAGCTGCGGCAACAATGCTATATCTGATTGTTCAAGCCGCCGCGTGCATCGTGGATTCACGGCTCTGACTAAATCAGAACTTCGAATCGCTCCTGACCAGCGCGATGCAACACCAAACGACCGTGGAGAAAACACGATGTATACAGGTTCTAGCACAAAATGTGCTAGGCTATAGAGCGCTTGCTGACATCCGGGATAGCTACCAGGGAGCGCACCTGCTCGCTCCATGCGGGAGAGAAGGGGTTCAGCAAGATGCCAACGTTGATCCCACAGGAGGGCTTCCACGACACCAAAAAACTGAGATGAGACCATGTCGGAATCTCCGTATCCCCTCCACGCGGGTTGAATTGTGCCGGGCTGCATGGCTGCCTTGGCTTTTTCGTTTGAGCCACCCAACGAGACAACACCAAAACGACGTGCTTCTTTGTCTATCTGTTCACCAAACTTTTTGGCATCATCTGCAAGGGTTTCCAATGATGATGCTAGATGTGGCAGGAGAACTTCGATGTTTATCACATTCGCACTAAGAAGCATAACTGCAAGACGACAGAGAGACCGTGGCGTGGTCTGATTTTCGTGGTAGTGCTGAAACTTAAAGCCTAAAACGTGAGGCAATGATTCTTCAAGAGAAAGCTGCCGCGCGAGGTTGAGGTGAGCCTCCACAACTGTTGACGAGCCGTCGCTATCACGCTCGAGAGACTCAAGCACGATATCCAAGACGCGATTTGGGTCTAGATCAAAGCCTCCAATAAGAGCTCGAAGTGTCTGTGCTGCCCCCATCAACGATGCACCCCCCTGGAGCCGCGAAAGCCTAAGCACACGAAAATCTCTTGCACAAACTTGATGGTTAAACCGGGGACCGGAAGAGAGTATTGCGGAAACGTGAGGGCCGTTTAGAAAACATGAAATGCGCTGGCGCTAGCATTGTCGTAACCTAAAGATTTTGCGGTGTTCATCTAGTGAAGTCGCGAACCCTTCTCGATATGACTGCCCGGACTCAAGTCCAAGGCACAGGGGCGTGACCTTTGAGTATCCTTCGCTCTCTTCGTGCAACAAATTATACTTGCGTTGCCTGTATACTAGGTCCGTGTTCAATTTTTTCATGCGCTTCACGAAAGTAACCGTGTTTATGAGACCCGCCAATCCCAAAAGTTCCTCGTCGAGGAGCCTTGAAAAAGTCATGGACCTAATGAAATGAATTGAATTGACGCCATGCTGTAGATGAATGAAACACGGCGGAGATACGGAATTACACAAGCTAATTCGAGCTCCTGTACCAGCGCTGCTAGGTAACGCCGTGCTGACTCGATTTTAAGTGATCCGATCTGCACCTGCGCGGCTGAAGGTTAGTAGGGCATGGGAGCTTCGGCGCAGCGTAGAAACATCATGCGACCAGATGGCATCAACCACAGCCTCAGTGGCATCTTCTGGGTATCCACACTTCGCCAGTGCGCAGCCTAGCAACTCAACCGCAGTTTCTGGATCAGTCTCGCCAGTGGCGACGTACCTGACCCACAGACAGGATCGAACGAGCATAACACTATGACTCAGTTCAACGGACGCAACTACTTCGAAGACGGCATCCCGCCAGCTAGTCACTTCGTCTGCACGCGCCACTACCGGAAATGTATCAGCGATAGTTTTACTAGATAAAAATAGTGTGTGCGCCAAGTCGCTATGGGCATCGCCGTCGGCTTTTGTCCAAGACATAACTCACTCACGCGCTCGCCAGCGCGCTTCGGTATTTATAAATAGGGGCGGACAGTGAAGCTCGGACAGAAGATAATTACCCCAAAAAATCGCTGGGGTCTCTGTTCACGCCTGAGACGCGTAGGTCGACTTCCCGGGGGGGTACACCCAAGATTTTTGGCTCGATCGACGTTAGGCCGGGCCTCACGCAACATACAAAAAAAAACGCGGGTGTACCCCCCACGATTTTCAACATTTTCCAGCCTTGAACGAAATGGGATTCGTCCAGCCCCATAGGAAAAAAACCGAGGCTTCGCGAAGCCATAACTTTACGAAATCCGGATCGATTTCCACGAACCCAGACTCTTTGATTATCAGTTAGATGCCCTCTATCCATCGCACTATCAGTTAGATGCCCTCTATCCAAATTCGACGATCTGCAATCGGCCGATTTTCAGTGTCCCCCCCTATTATAAAAGACCCCGACGGTAGAAATAGCCCTTTACCGCATGGATAAGCTGGAATATCGACCTTGTGTCACCAGGCGCGTGCAATTCCGTCAAAATAGCGGCTCACGTACACGCCCCTGGTGTATGCAGACGTCCCAGACACAAAAAAGGGCTTAAATCGAACGTGTCCGGCGGCCATGTTGAAGTTCAATTTGAATACGCATACCCAGGTCGAACTTCAAGTTGAAGTCCCGCCAGGTGGGTGTTTTCCGGCGGACAGCCGCGATCGAGCGCCAGGCGGGCCGCGGGGCTTCGGGGACGCGCCGGGGAACCGACAGAGCGGCACGCGCGGCGCTGAAAGGGCTCCTCCGAGGCTTGCACGGACGCCTTCCAGGCGATTAGAGAGATAGAGAGTTTTGTATCTCCCTAGTGGCTCGCTGGTACAGAGCCACCCAATTTCCTTCCCCTCCTTAATACTTTCTAACCCTGTTATAGTTGCTTCCCGCACTGTAATAGACGGAAAGTCTTCCTGGACCTAGTGAGGCAGATTCTCTGCCCGTTCGTCCAGTAGCCCCAGCCCCCGTATACTACGGCAGCTGAGGTGACGTGAGGATAACAGAGACGCCGGTGTACCGCTACTGCGTAACCTCGATAGTTCACCCTCACACGGCAGGGCAGCCCGTAATTTACATTACCCTGTTCCCTCTCTATCGCGACGTCACACTATGGAGATGACACTGCACTTCCCCGTAACGTTGACATCAACGTTCCTTAGTACCCCAGTTTGGGGTATCTTTCTCTAAGGGCTGTACAGAAGAGTCGTGGATCTTAGCAATACTCCGTATGCCAAAAAAGGTAAAGGCGGCAGTTTCAAAAGGCATACTACGCAGTACGCAGAATCCCTACACAGTCGCTTACTTGTATCTTTTGTACGAGGATACGCGGAAAAGGTATCCTCTTCTTTCTTTGACCGTGACTTACGCACTTTTAGTGACCGAGGAGTCTGGGCATAATATTTTAAAAAAGCCTAAGCTGATTGTAATAGAACTAGAGCCCACTGTGGTAAACGCACACATGTACACCCCCGGGGCCATCCGGGAATTCGTCCCAGCTACCTAGAGGGGCTGACCGTGGACGGGCCGGCGAAGTTTGAGGCCCGGCCAAATTCAAGCGGCATTTAACATAGCCCGCCAGCATCCATGGGTTGCTAGTGTCAGCCAATATCCCACGTTCCATATCCTGCACGGAGGGGGGCATCAACTGCGGTCATCATAATGTCGCCTGTGAGAGGACACGCATCTCCTAGGTGGAAGCAAGCATCAGGTTTGTTCGTGCGCTTTAGATAGGATGTCAAGTAACTTGATGTTGCATAGGGACAATAGGCGAGGCCACTAGTAAAATAACTAAATGCGCTATTTGCGAGCCTTGAGCCAGAAAATGCACAATACATATTGATGGGAATCGTGAAAGAATCAGTGTTTAGTCTCGATATTTCACAATGCATATCCGCGGAACTCCTCATGAATTCATCTATGTCGGCCCGCAATATTGCTAAACTTCGATTGTATTCATCTAGCGAACCGCATATCTCGGACTTGAACGTATCAATGACAACGAAATCGGGAAAAAATGCCAAAATATCTTCGATGGATAGAACATTGGATTCATGTAAGACTCGCAATGACTCGGAGATGGCCAGCCTGTGAGATTCAGGTTCATAGATCTACCCTAAAATAGGCTGCACTGCACTGCAGATGACGATCGGTCCGTAACAATGTGCTTGGCAATCATGAGCCAGAGGCGCCTGCATTCAATTACCAATTGAGAGTATGCTCCAATAAGAGTAAACTCAAATAAGGGTGAACTCACATCTTTCTGCTCAATGAAATGCCAGGCAGCATGGCATATTCCTTCGCTAAGTTGACATCAAAATCAAGGGTTAGTCCAACAGCTTCTTCATAAAGTCCCAAACTTGCGTAGATCCACGCACAGGTGCGAGGAAACGCATCGATTGAGAGTCTACGCAGCCCAAATTGTAGACCAAACATATTTGATTGGGTAACCTTCAAGTGGGTCAACATCAGCTCTTCGCTGTTGTAAAGTTTGGGATAAAAGCTCATAAAGTAACTTAAGATGGAAATTTCAAACACGGTGCACTTAGTCAAACCTGAAACAAGCCCAAACCACCACCCCGGCGATGCAATTTCAGAATTGTACCAGCTACTTCGCATTAGTGCTGGGAGCAGCTTTGATGAAGATAAGCCCAATTTGCAAGCCCATGCCTGGGCAGTGAGCACGGGTTCGTTCTCAAATAAGGCAAGAGAAGTCTCGTAGAGAATATCCTCAACCTCGTCAAATGGTGCGGTCGTGAGTACGTCGAGTATAGCTTTCCAGCCTATGTGGGGGGATCTGAGATGATTGACTTGATTCAAACCACGCTGATGAGGCACAGTGATCATGCACGTGGTTTGCGACAGAGAGTTGGTATAACCCAATTTCTTCAGCGTAGGAGGCTGCAAGCCCACTACATCCAAAGCTCGCGATGAGCTGGAAAGTTGTCCTTACGTGCAGCACTCTGCAGTATTTATGAAGGAATAACTGCAACGCTGCATTCGAGTTTGCGTCCAGCTCCCATGAGAGAGAGAATGCTATGAGGTACTGCTCAACCATCATCGCACACACAACTGCCTGCTGCGCCTTGCCACCGTCGATAAAACTATTCAATGTCTGCTGTAAATAAGCTGATATTGCCTTTGCTCCTGCGCACACCAATAACTCTAGGCACACCTGCACACACGGCAGCTCATGTGTATCCTAACACGGGGGCACCGACGGACATCACCGATTCAAACGAGACATGATTCTGCATGTTGAGACTCGGGGCAGCCGATTCGGTCTGCCCCGTGTCGATCAAATAGCGGGCATGAACACAGTGCACGAGAGCACGTTCCCGAGACGTTCCGCAGCGTGGCAGTGCATTTTTGAAGTTGACGGCATCGCCAATAACTGCATTTTCCAACACTGACTTCCACCTGTGGTACTTGGTACTGAGCGTGGTAGTCCCTGGACTCGAGCCGAGCAAAAAAATTAACTACGCTGGTTATGGCATAATCTGGACGCCGCTGGCAGCACAAACCCGATACAGATCTCGGTCCGTGTGAATCCAAAAGTGTGGCCCGTGTAAGCCCGGATGCATTCCATTCAAAGCTGTATCACAGCACAAATCGTCCCTTGTAATTTGATTTAGCACGTCTCCAGTTAGCCTGCTGACAATAATCAAAGCATCTGGGTACAGCAGAATGAAACTAGAGCCTCTGTACAGAAAAGTTGCTGGGATTTCCTTTCTAGGATAACTTGTTGTCGCGCTGCTTGCTATAGCATCATCAGAGCTGCAATGCAAATATGTTTGGAGTAAGTTTGTATATATTTCAGCACGAAAACGTGAAAGATGCTGACACGGGCTCTAACAGATCTGATCTATCTTGCTTGACTGATATATTCGCATGAAATATGCCAAAATCGGTGATTACTGCAAAGAAAAGAACGCCACGGGGCTTTTGAGGTGCCAGGCGACATAGCTCAGTGCAGCCACAAGCAATAGGCAACTCAAACAGCAGGTGAGGGCTCAATGATGCAAAAGCTGTATCGAGACTGTGGGAATCGAAAGTCATCAAGAATCAAAAGCGACGCGGGGGCCTGCGTTTTGCCAGTGAACGTAAAGATGGACAAACTTGATGTATTCGCCACTAAGAGAATTGCAATAGTCGGATCAGAGGTGATATCATCATCTCGCGCTGTCTCAATGTGAATGTGTGATATTTTGGATATTGATTTTGATTTCAAAAGTGATTTCAAAGCTGGGTCCTTTCCTCTGGGGTCTATGTTAGCCTCATAAATGCAGCCACATGTTGTACCGACGAGGATCGTATTGAAGACGCCACGAGGATACGCGATGGCACTTATGACCTATGACGGGGCCTCGTGGAGACTCGCAGAGCAGTAGATACTTCGTGAGTTACGAGTCCACGCCATCTATTGACTAATGCTGGTTTTGGCGACCCCAGGCGCCAATACAAATTCTCCCCGGTGGACGAAGTTATATACGAGTGCTTTCCCTCGGCATCAACGAAAAGCCAAAGCGACCCTGGCTGCGAAGTGAATAAGTCTGTCAAATCAAATTGCTGAACATCATCATTATCGCGCCATCGAATCATCTTGTGCTCCGAGGTAAGCACGATACAACCAAATTAGTAATACTCTCGCTTTCAAGGGCTGTGCGCACACGTGCCTGTGTTACCCGCACGCCCAGCATAGTGTGTGCAGGTGATATGTGCAGGTGATATGTGCAGGTGATATGTGCAGGTGATATAGCCGCCAGGATATATCAGCCAGGATATTCAGGATACAGAGGAAAGAGACAAGAGATATGTCTCGCAGGGGCAGCTGCGAGAGTTACGTGGACTGACCTACTGGCGTTAGCGCCAGGGAGGGAGGATCTCAGTACTTTGGGATAGGAAAGAAAAGGGAAAGGGAGGAGAGCCTCCTCAGGGTGGCAGTAGGCTGGGCCTATGGTCCTATAACTTGAAGAGGAAGGTAGACCTTGAGGGTAGGTTGAAGTAGAACTTGAAGAGAAGTTGAGGAAGAGTCAGGTTGAGGAAGAGTCAGGAAATAGTCCTTGAGCTCCCCCTATTTCCTGATGATATCAGGGAAAGTGGCCATTGTCGTTTTCATTCTGCATCAAACGCTCGAGGTGAATATTGAATCTACCCATCCATTCTTCTAGGCGCTGTACGCGTTCTTCAAGGCCCACAGGATGAGCCTCATCATGCTTGAGAATCTTTGAAATCACGATTTTCTGATCCTTTAATTTGAACCCTTCTTCTGTGATATATTTGAATGGATCCTTCAAAAATGTTTCATCAATGAAAAGATTAATTGGAACTTTGTCCCATAGAATCACTTGCCCCCCGCGAGCACTAGATTCATCAAGCTGGACGTCATCTCGAGCACATGAGTCGAGCTTTATTCAGCGAGTGAATATGTAAGGGAGTAGGAGCAGCGGCGAGGGTGCAGCCGAGCTCGGGTGAGCAGGGTTTGCATTTCTCTGTGGTCTGGCTGGATGAGGTTGCGGGTGCAAACTTCATCCGATCCTTTACATTAGTGGCTCGCTGCTCTCCTAGCTATTGGCTATTTCTTATGGATATTGTATCTTGGTATCTCCCTTCTTCTTCTTCTTCTTCTTCTTCTTCTTCTTCTTCTTCTTCTTCTTCTTCTTCTTCTTCTTCTTCTTCTTCTTCTTCTTCTTCTTCTTCTTCTTCTTCTTCTTCTTCTTCTTCTTCTTCTTCTTCTTCTTCTTCTTCTTCTTCTTCTTCTTCTTCTTCTTCTTCTTCTTCTTCTTCTTCTTCTTCTTCTTCTTCTTCTTCTTCTTCTTCTTCTTCTTCTTCTTCTTCTTCTTCTTCTTCTTCTTCTTCTTCTTCTTCTCTTCTCTCTC